TTTCCATTACTCTACGGGTAGAGGTGATTTCCCCAGTTCATGCAGGTTACTTTAGGCTTTTAATTACTGTAAGTATCTGCGCAGTGCTCGAGTACCTAGGTATGCATATGCCCAGGCCTCACCGCACCGCAGGAGGATAGATTATCACCAGGCAGGTTGTCCTAACGTTGGACCACTATCCCATTGCATCATGAATCAACTTCAGGGCCTCTTAAGTATGACACTGAGCGGAGCTACTTTTAACACCCCACATGGCCGCAGGAAATCGCCAACTCCTGAAAACTTTTGAGGAGTTGTCCTTAGTCTGCACAGGATCCTTGCGCTGTAGTTATGATACGGTATTCACTAAGCCCACAGAAAAATCTTACCGCCCCTAACGTTAATTCTTAAATAAACCCCCATTAGTCGGGACACCATCCTGGCGTGGATTATCATTACTTACTTTGGGCCACTAAATAACTTTCGGTAGATTGCGGGTGAGATATCATAATAGGAAGGGCTTCTCGGAATATCGGCTCCAACTTCAGGTATTGTGCCAATCTATAAGTTTTAGCGCAAGATCAATTGTAGCCAAGGATGGCAGTTATAATACCCAGCCAGCGGTGCACTACTCGAGCATAGTACGGGAGGGGTTAATCCAACTATGGGTGACATGTACTAGTACAAGGGATCCCGCCGCCAATAGTATGGTGCTTGTACCTACAGTACACGTGTATCTGGAAATGAGTATCCGAAAATCCGGCTATTGTCAAAAACCCACCCAACCGGCAGAAAAGGGGGGAAAAAAACCCTGTCTCATTTTCAGACAATTTATGCCAGATACAAGTACCAAGAGATCAACAGGATTCAAAGTGCTCGAGTACAGGTACAAGGGGGAAGTTTTCGAAGGAAAAAAAAGGACAAGGATCATTTTGCAAGTTAACCTAAATTGACTATTCACTAACTTTATTGGGGGGTATCATACTTGCACAATTCTCGAACCATTTATATTGCTTGTTTCCCAACAACTGCACTCTCCTGTAGCGTGGCCGATGTCCCACAGCGGGCGGTTAGGAGCCGAAGGTCGAAATATACCGACATCTGGGGGAACGCTCCGGGAGTGGCCCCAGCAACCTCTCGGACCGAATTCCGGTGTGCTGGCAACGAATACCGTAACTAATCTGCCACGCTATTGACGTATTGGCGAATTTTAAACTTCGTGGCCAATCTTCCCATAGAACCGTATCGGCACTTGTAGAGTACCGCCATCGGCAGCCCGAATGCTGGCCCGGCTCACGCCACGCTTCGAACTCCTTACTCAACTTGGAACATTGTGCTGTGCTCGGGGAGAGCGAGAAAACGTTTGGAAAACCATCAACGACAAGGGAGTTTGTTTAATACCAGTATATCATGGCATATCGCACCTGCTCCTATAGATTACTATGGGATAAGTGATAAAGTTGAACCGTAATAAGTCTGAGTAAGAAGGGCGGCGAAATTACGAACACCAGTTAATCAGAACTAGCGAGTTCTGCTCGCTAAGGTATTCCACGTCAGGTGAAAACTGCTCTTTCTCGGGGAATTCTGCCTCTGAGTGTGGAGATTAGGGGCCCAGCGGGAATAGTTTGGTGGGGGGCCCAGGTAGCCGAAGCGCTCGGGAGGGTACCCAAAGGACAAACTCAAAACCTGATGGAGCAGCCTATTAGCCTCACGGAAATAGTGAGAAGATGTAAACATCTCCCGCTTTGATGAAGTTATGGGAGCATAGAGGGTGAGCGTTTTGAGTGGGGGGATTGAGATGTCAGCCGAAAATTCAGAGGAAAAAACAGAAAACGAGTGATCCACCGTGACTGATTTACAGAGTTGATAAGTTAAATTTACAAAATGTAAAAAAATGTTCGGCCACGCAACAAGGACCCCAGCGTTTGAGGGGACATGACTGAAAAGAGTGTCTAGCGGTTAGAATTGCCATACTCAACACTTTCTATACAGACAGCAGATCTTCCCCGGATTGGTTTGTCCCTGAAAAGCAGAAGAAATGCTGCTACTATGGAAACAAAAGCGACACTTACAGGACACAAAGCGCTCTTCCAAGTGCTATCCTAGGAAGAATTGTTCCTGCTCCCTCGAAGGCCTTTGGGGAGCAATTTATCTTTCCCTAGACTCAGTTTCTCTACCGATACCATCTTGCATGTACACGCACCCCTGGTGCATATGGGTGTGGGCTTCATTCCGGTATTGCGGAGTTTCGTGAAGGTGTTTACAAAATCACCACTATATCGAACTATACCGAGGAGAAAACCAAATGGAGGTTTCATACCGCCAGGGTTAGGGCGCCAAGTTACCTTGGCCAGAATTTCGTCAATGGCAGTCCACTCCGGCCACAGACGCCCCTGGCCATAGATTATAAGAGTTTTTGCGGGATCAGTCTTAGATATTATGTGAATCAAGGAACTCTACAAAGTCTGTACTTTGTGGTTCAGGGGCAGGGGCAGTAAGTCTTTATAACCCCCCAAGGGCTAAGACGTAAACACCAAGTAGCCCCCAATGCGAGGAAGGGGACCAATAGAAATCCCCAGGGATCGAAAATTTGACAGCTCATCAAAACGAGCATCTACGGTACACTTGATAAATTCCGAGTCTGTCACGAAGGCATATACCCCTGCCTAGAGCTGCCTTCTTGAGTGGGCTACCATCCGTCCGCAATCACTACTAGCAATATCAAAGAAGATGTAAAGGGAAAAAAGAAAAAAAATTTGGGTAAAGAGTAGCTAAGTGAGAAGAAGCGAAATAAGGGTTTGATTCTTGGAATCTGATTCCTCCAACTAAGCATTCACGAAGAAGTTAAGGGTTCCGTGAATCTCTTTGCTAGTATTTCACCTACGTCCGATTAGCAATCTAATCAGGCGGGCTTCTACCTCCCTATCAGATTGCGCTAGGAGTAAGAGGGGGCAGAAAAAGGATATCGAGTGATGCACAATGACTGGAGAGGGGAACTTGGCACCAAGAACTTCCTATGTCCTGTCTTCAGCCCATTAATCAGTGCTGTTAATTTATACATCCCCTTCATACGAGTCTCGCCGTGCTTAACTTGATCCCAGAGTGGAAGGTGGCCCGCAAGAGCAGGATTGCTAGTAATTTGAATCCTTAAGGAACCTTACTTCCTGACCGCTGTCCAACAACCCGGGTTTTGGTGTGTCAGGGAGAGTAGCGGAGTGCCAAGTGTAGTTCCGGCACTTGAACAAGTGCTGTGTACGAGTAGTATGCTGGTCGCTCTCACAGTCGGGGACCTCCCGGCCCTCGCCCCGAACAATGCGGGGACGACGGCGCTATGCACCCCCCAATGAGGCCAAGGGATAAAGATCTCGGATACATACAGTACTGACACCTTAGGTAAGATATAAGGTCCTCTCGACATATGCATAATTCACTGAGTGATTCACATCTGGCCCCTACACCGGTTCAACCTACCAGATAGCTTTAGAGACGAAATAACAAGTGCCACGTTAATGTCCAGCAACCAGCAAGATCAATCATTCCCCCTGGCAAATTGGCCTTCTGGAGTGACGGGTAAGTGATGGTTTACTAAGCACTCTACCCTGGATTGGGGATTCCTAGTGTAACGCAATAAGTCAGACAGACTTTGTCGGTGGGATACCGTATTCGAAAACATCCCGAAATCCGACCATGGCTTGGCAACACAAGTTACAGCACCCCCCTCCTATGATACCGTATACCCCTATCCCGAAGCGATGGCGAGTGAAAAGAGCTCCAGATCTTCCAGCAGTACTCGAGTACTCTTTCAAGAGCTGATATTATTTTTTTTGGAACCTTTTCTTAGTCTCCTTACTGATTCCCCCTTCTGAATTGTTGGGACGGAAAACGGCTAAGCTATGCCCAAATTTCTGGACCCGATACTTTTTGGAATTGCAAGTGCCGGTAACTTAGGAACCTCGAGGCAGTCCCCCATTATCTCTCCCTTCGTGGCCCCCTATCTAACCCTAGGCTCGATCTCCGAGGGTCTTTTTAACAATATTGAGGCTAAAATTCGATTTCAATATTACTCGTCCAGACCGTTTTTTTTTTTTGGATGTTCCGGGACACTGTTGGGAGCTAACCGACAATGGCACACACTGAATTTCCAGGCTACGAACCCCGCAATCAGGAGGCACGGTACTTGTAAGCACGGGACGGTACCGGCACCGTCTTCCTTGGGAGGGTTTTCCCCTAGGGGAATTGTTGCAGCTTCCGTGATACAAACTTTTTCCAACCGATCATGCAGGAGGCAGTTCCACACTTTTATGAGACCTTACTCCTGCTCGTACCTGTCCATGCAATCTCAATTGTGGGCCAACCCAACTCTGCTTGGGCACCGTGGCGTGTTCCGACAAGTGATCACCCCTCCGGCACTGCGGCGTGAACTCGAGTACCATACTGTACCGTACTCGAGCATCGGTACCGCACAGTGCTCCAGCGCTGGGCGGTGGGTGGACTTGGAGAAGTTCACATAGCATGATAACTTAAATTTGGTTTAAAATAGGGCCTTCACCCAGGCTCGGTCTCACCGTCCCAGAGCGATTTGTAACAAGCCAATAGAAATCCTGGTCCTCATCGCTTCCAGGGAGAGATGAACCCTGCTCTAATGTGGAGTATTTTCTTTTCTTTTTTTCTTTCTGCTCCGCTGTGCTGGTAGGTGAAAGAGTACATGTGCCGGTACATGCATCGCACCGTATCGCGAGCAGGAGCTCGGGAGCCTGGCAGTACTCGAGTACCCTACAGTGCTTTTAGTGCTCATCTTCTCCATCCCTGTTTTCTTCCCCACGTTCTCCTTCGCCGGAAAGGGTTTTGAGCCTCGTCTTTCGCGTGTGGACGCTAACATCTGATTCTTAACGCAAGATTATATACAACGGCGAATTGGATTCTTTACCTTCCAACAGGCCCGCCCAACTCACTCGTCCTCAGCATCCCTACATCAAGGCCATACAGTGCGCCCGCAACTCGATTCTTTCCCCCCCCCCCCCACCCCACGGATAACTACTTTTACCTATTTTGTTTGCTCAAGTGCCACTCCACCCCTTCCAGAAAATACTTTGGGTGATTCTTTGAGAACATCGGAGTATCGAATTCCTTATATATATACTTCTTGCCGTGCCTTACTAGGTGACTGCCTTGCTGCCCGCAGTGCCTCCCAGCCGATGATTAGGAATGCAGCAATCCAAGTCTTCACGATCAATGCCTTCTTTGACTTCCTCCTGTTCACCTCCTTATCTTGAAACACTACCCATTCTAAATCATCCGAGTTTAGCGTTGGGGGGTACCACTACCCTCACCAGCAAATTTGGGGGTGAGGATGGAGGGGATCATAAAACCTCCTCCAGCTCGAACGGAAAAACTAAACGAAAGCGGTCGATGATTGCTTGCAAGCACTGTAACGAGAGAAGGGTACGATGTGATGCCTCAACTATTGGGTGAGTAGTCATGTATTCGTCCCATCCCGGCTTTTGCTCCCCTCCCTCTTTTAGCCCTGCACAAATACCCAAAGACCCCAAGATTGTATATGTGGAGTGAGTCCCCGCGAGCGTTGGGTGGCTACGATCCGATCAAATAATGCGTATTGCACCGCTTAGCTAGAACAATATCTACGATCAGCCAGGGTGCCTCGCGCTTTGAGAGGTTCAACTATTCTCAAGCAGAAGCCGCCGCCCCTCTCTACAACATTTTCATTTTTTTCTATTCACCTCTTCCCGTATTTCTGGAGTTTGCCGGGAAGGGAGTATTTCATTTTTCATTTCATTTTTTTCAGGGGGGCGATCACATTGCGCGTTTTTCTATTGCTCGTTGCCGATATTGGTTCCGCTGTGAGAAGTTCCGCCACTAACACTAATAATTTAACAGGTTGCCTTGCTCGAACTGTCAGCATAGCGGAAAAGGCGAATGTCAGTTCATTGAGTCGAAGCGTGTCAGGTGGGATTCCCTCGTGTGACTCTGCCATCTGTCGGGTTTGGTTCACTGAGCAATATACGTCAGGGGCGCGCGCGGTCGCTTCGATCGTCATGACGGGAAATCTGAGGAGTCTGTATCGCCAAACGCTGTGGATTTTTCCCTGGGTAGACCTGAGGTTGCTGTGACGAAAAGGGGCCGTCGACATTCTATATCTGGTACGGACGGAGAAGAATGGCAACAACTTCAGCAGAATGCTGCTAGCGATCGCAGTAATGGCACCGTGACATATTTGGGTGAATCATGGCACCTGGCTTGGGCGGCCGGTTCGGAAGCGAAGACCGCTCCCCTTCACAGGCCACCATTATGTCTAGGTGATGAGGAAGACATCAATCATCGGCTAAATAAGGAGCTATGGGAAAGAGGAGCATATATGCTCCCTGGGAGTGAGGTCAGAGACCGTCTCATTGCCGAGTACTTCAGGATATGCCACCCTTGCTATCCTATTCTTGACAAACGAAGGTTTCTCCACTCGGTCAAAACAAACACTTTCTCGCATATCCTGATGCAGAGTGTCCTCATGGTAGCCGCCACGCATTGCGATTTATCAATTCTTCAGAATGCAGGATATATCCGGCGACATGAAGCAGTCGAGATGTTCTATAAGCGTGCAAGAAGTCTCTTTGATGGAGATGTGGAGCCAGACAAAATGATTAATATGCAGAGCATGTTCCTTTTGCAATTTTGGTGGAGGGCGCCGTCAGATCAGAGAGATCCATTGTGGTGGCTTGCTGGAGCAATAAGGTTAGCCCAGACTATGGGATTACACCGGAGCTCAAAGGATAGCCCAATGGCTACAGATATTAGGAGAATCTGGAGAAGGGCTTGGTGGTGTCTATATGTACGTGTTTGTTATAAACAAGGTGAACAAATCTCCCACGCCCGATACTGACAGCAGGTATTAGATTAGAGACAGACAATGCTCTTCATCCCTAGGCAAACCGGTGATCATCAGAAATGAGGACTGTGACGTGGAAGATTTGACCCCCGATGACTTTGCTGATGACGACGACGGGACCCCGCCTGAGCACATAATCTATATCATGCAGCAGGCATCGCTTTGCAAGATCTGTATGAAAATATCCCCGGTCCTTGATATGAACGAATCCTTAATGCTGTTTAGTGGGTGACATGCTTCTCTTCGAGTACTGCCCAGGCGCATTGAAAAGCATCACTGAGAAGCCGGAGGTAGTTCGAGACCTTGCTAGGCGGTTGGAGGGATGGAAAAGCGTTATCCCTAGGGAACTCGAGTATAACCCGGGTTCGAGGAATCTTTGGGCGATAAAATTGCAATTGGCTTATCAGCATGCACTCCTTCCGCACATCACCGGGAAAGCTCAGGAATACTAATGAATAGATCTAGGAATGTATTCATCTTGTGCCACCGCCCGCTCTCCAGTAATCTCAACGGCCACCATAAGAAAATTTACGAAGGTCTTTTGACGATGGCAGCTACTGTTGTTGGAACCGTTATTAAAGATCTATTAGAAGGCTTCGGTGCAAGGTTCATGAATCCTTATGAGTATGTATTGTCCTCGCCACTTTTTCTATGTGAATCGGGTTCTGATAACTGGGCAGTATGGGTTGTTTCTTCTGTTCCATGACCATACATCTGGTCAATAGACGCACTACCAACCCAACTCTGGCCAAGGAAGCCGATGAGAGGCTCCAGGCGTCCCTGGTACAGATTCGTGAAATGGAGGAGATTCTTCCGGTCGCTTGCTGGTTTAGAGAACGTCTGAAGCACGCAATACAGGCAAGGGAGGAGACGTTGGCTGCTGATGTGGAACGGAAACCAAACCCCCAGCAATTGCAACATCAGCAACAGCCTCAAACCCGTAACCCGTCATCAACCCCCCCGACCCAAGTCCCTCAGTCCCAAATAGGAACACCCCTTCCAGTCCCGTCAGTGCCCTCGCACGTCCTACCCCCCAGCACCACCGAAGCCCAACGCCACCAGCCACAGCTCTGTTCCCCAGGCCTCCAACCGAAGCAATTCCAACCACACTACGTACCCGGCCCTGCGACCATCTCTTCTGCCGTCCAAATGAGACCGATGCAAGAGACAGGAGAGGTCGCAGGCGCAATGGTAGACGCATGGGCTTCGAACAACTGCACCTTTGTAGGATTAGGAGAAGTGCTAGATCCTCAATCGGGTATGCTAGGCATGGGTGGTGGTGGCGGTGGGCTCGAAGGACACACTGTTGCTGAGTTTGATTATCAATGGGTTTGGGATAGTGTTGGGGGGCTGGGGAATACGTATGTACAGATGAGGTTCGGGGCGGAATAAAAGTTTAATATTTCCTCCATTTTGCTTTCATCTTCTTTCTTTTTTTGATCTATCCGAGGTGTTTATTTTTATTTTCATTTCTATTTTCACACTTTGCCACTGTATATTGACTTACGAGTTCAACTTTATATGAAAGAGTTTATTTGCCAGAGAGGGAGATAACCGAGGGGGTTTCGGTGTTTTCCCCAATTTCTTTGCTTCTCATTTCCTCCTTTTTTTTTTCTTTCTTTTTTTCTTTTGACCTAAAAATATCTAGTGTTTGACGATGTAGCACGTATTGCGTCGGGTGTCTGTTTCCAACTTATTGTGTTTCGGCCGCCGAGTGATACCATGTGTTTTAGACGCCGGAGGAAGACTCTTCTTCCGTGCAATGTATTTATAACGGAAGTTTCACGGGGGCAATTATTTAACAATGGAAGCTGCAATGCAAGATGGCTACTCAGGGCTGAACTAGTGATACATGAAGCAGGGGACCAGGTCACTATCCAATTTTGATCTCATGAGAACCTAAAGTATAGCAATAGCACTAGGAGTACTGTACTTCCGATACCTCCAACCCAACGGATTAGCAACTCAGTTAGAGGGCACTGAGTCAGATGGGAAAAGGAAAAAAAAAAAGAGAGAGAGAGAGAGAGAGAGAG